AGGAAAAATTTTGTAGGGAATAGTTCTCTGCAGGATACTTCCTGGAAAGGAAAAAAATTGTAGGGAATAGTTCTCTGCAGGATACTTCCTGGAAAGGAAAAATTGTGTAGGGAATAGTTCTCTGCAGGATACTTCCTGGAAAGGAAAAAAAATGTAGGGAATAGTTCTCTGCAGGATACTTCCTGGAAAGGAAAAAGATTGTAGGGAATAGTTCTCTGCAGGATGCTTCCTTGAAAGGAAAAAAATTGTAGGGAATAGTTCTCTGCAGGATACTGACTGGGAAGAAAGAGTTTGTGAAGGATAATGACTGTGAAGAAACCTTTTGGTAGGGATCAGTTCGTGTGAAGGACACTTACTGGGAAGAAACAGTTTGAAAAAAAATGAGAACAAACCATTTGCTAGGTGTCAGTTCCTGTAAGAGATACTCACTGTAAAAAAAGGTTCCTTCCTGGAAAAATATAGATTTCAAGATGCCAGTTTATATTTAAAAAAAAGGTTCCTGTAAGAAAATGTTCACTATATCAAGCAGGCAAATTGTGGGAATTTATATATCTAAGAAATGTACAAACAACGAAAAATGTCAAAAAAAAATCAGAAAATTGAGAAAATTCAGAAAATTCAGAAACTTCAGAAAATTCAGAAAATATAATTCAGAAAATTTAGAAAATTCAGAAATATATATATATATATATAATTCAGAAAATTCAGAAAATTTAGAAGATTCAGAAAATTTCAAAATTCAGAAAATTTAGAAAAATTAAGACAATTCAGAAAAAACAAAAAATTACAAAAAAAATAAGAACATTAAGAAAAATTATAAATTTTGAGAATATTTAAAGTTTGAGCAACTTAGACACCTCAGAAAATTTATGATTAATTGATAATTGTTGATCCTTTTTCTCTATAGATATATGCTTAAATTCAAAACAAATATGGATATGTCTCAAAATGAGGTGTCCGTTTTTGGTTCCAAAATGGTTACTTTAAGGGAAAAAACGGACACCTCATTTTGAGACATCCCCATATTTTCATTATATATATTTAAATATATATATATAATGTAATGAAAAGACAAAAAGATCAACAAGGTCAGCTATAGAAAAACAAGCGGTCCTTTTCAAAGGAAATATGAATTATTTTTTCCATACAAAGGGAAGGAATTGCAGGAAGTGAACTATATTAAGTTCCAACATAATTAAAAAATGAAATATGTTATCTATATTTTTAAAAACTTAAAATTTGCAAAGAGATGGAAATGTCATAAAATATGTGCTTCCTGAAATTTCACTGTCTTGTCTGATAATCCGAAAAAATAAAAACGTCTTTGAAATAAAAATACATGGAGAAATATACAACATTTATAAGTTTAGATTGATCGAACTCTCGAGCATCAAAAGTTTTTTGCTGCTAGGAATTTTGTAGTCGGTCGCTTTGAACTATTTTTTTTGGTGCAATTACTTTCCAAACTCGTAAAAGTTCTGTTCAAGAAGCATCCTTCAGATTGTTTTTCCTTCTTCTGCGCCTCAATGATGGCAACCAGATTATGCTTCTTCTGCGCCGCAATGAGAGGGAAAATTCCTGAAAGGGATAGTTCCTGAAAAGGATTCATTCTGAATAGAGTAGTTCCTGAAAAGGATAATTCCTGAAAAGGATAACTCCTGAACAGGATGAACCCTAAAAAGAACAATAATCACCATGAAGAAAAAAAAGATGTATTTGACGCAAAAAACTCTTTTCAAAAAGTATATGACGAAAAAACTCTCGTCTATAATCAATGCTAGTCTCATTACAAAAAAACATAAAAAAGTAAGCAAAATAAGTGAAAATCAGTGAAAATAGGTAAAAATCACTTCTATGATAAGTTCATATAACTACTAATATCTTCATTAAGTGCCTAAAGTAAAAATATCTTCATTTTGAGGTCTTAGTGGAGCGCAGCGCCAAAGGTGCCAATCAACAGGGATTCCGTCAAAAGGCTGCAGTCCAAGATCTTCAAAGACGGACCGGCTCTCTTTGACCGCCCGACTGTCATTGCTGTTGCGGAAGACCTCTCGGTGTCGAAGGGCAACCTGCGCCGAGTCGCCCCTGAAGAGCCAGAGCATACCTACTTGTTCGCCCTGAAGGATGCCATCACCAATGGTGAATCGGAAGATGTGCTGTTGCAACTTGTTCGATTCAAGTAAAGTAGTCCAGCTTTGAACCAGCTTGCTGGTTGATGATTGGACCAGCTGCTGGTTGATGATTGGACCAGCTTGCTGGTTGATGATTGACCCAGCGAGCTTGCTGGTTGATGATTGAACCAGCTTAGTTGATGATTGGACCAGCTTGCTGGTTGATGATTGGACGAGCGTGCTGGTTGATGATTGACCCAGCCAGCTTGCTGGTTGATGATTGAACCAGCTTAGTTGATTATTGGACCAGCTTGCTGGTTGATGATTGAACCAGCTTGCTAGTTGATTGGACCAGCTTGCTGGTTGATGATTGGACCAGCTTGCTGGTTGAAACTGTTTGGTTGTTTCAGCTTGCTGGTTGATGACGGTACTATCAGTTTGCATTTAGAACATGGTTCCGTGCCCAGGCAGTTTTTTGCCATTGATTTTGAACATTTTTTCTGGGTTGATCTGAGGCAGTACAAGCGGGTGGCACTGTGCACATCCATGATCTTCGAGATGTTGCCTACGTTGGAGAAGGTTTTTTTCCGTGGCGTTTCTTGCCTTCAAACTTAAAAATAGTAACTGATATCATCAAATGTCCACTCTATGTACACAATGAGCTTTGGTTTTTATCCAGGTCAACTTGCGAAACAATATCATCGATGAGTTGAGGTGTGGGACTCCGCCGGCAGATCCGTGTTGCTCACGGCAGTCCTGTATGCATCTGCGGACGACATCTATGGGTGGTGCATGCTTGGCCTTTTCCAGACAGACTTGAAGGTCTGGAAACACAACCCTCTTTAGCAACGACCAGTGGTAAGACCACTGCTGGTCAGGAATGGACTGACTACCAGTGCCTGGAATCAAATGGTGAAAATGATTGTCACCGCTTTGAAATTTTGAAATGATAACCTGAATTGGCTAGCTTGCTGGTCCTGAAATGGCCAGCTTGCTGGTGTTGAAATGGCCAGCTTGCTGGTCCTTCAAATTTGTTCTTCCAATGGCGAAGCACCGCGACTGATAAAGTGTTTTTTTGCATGGCCAGATTGCTGGCTGATCATAAATGTGCGCTGCCAGCTGGCTTGACTGAAACTTACACTTGACTGCCGCAAAATTTCCCAGGCCAAACGTCGTCCATTGTCAAGAGCCTCATTTGTATCCATGGGAATGATGCGACCACCGCCCCCTTCTGTGACTGCGAAAACCATCCAAGCCAGCAAAATGGGACAATGGACGCGAGCCAAGGAGAAGCCAGCGCCATGCCCGATGATGGTTCAAAAACGCCTCTTGCACAGGATGCCGCTGGAGCTTCTCAAGGCGAAGTACAACTATTTGAGGAACAACTCCGCGGCTTGGATGTTATTGCTGTTCACTGACTGAGGTTTGATTTTGTTTGACCGACGTTTTTCAAACTATTTTCGCTTCTTTTCAGCCTCAACTCAGAAGTGGCTCTCAAGCATAGACTTGGAAGAGGCCATGCGGAAGATCATTCGCCGACGGTCGGGGCTCCCTTCGACCTCCGATTGAAATTGACGCAAATCAAATTGAGCCCAAGAAGCAGCGCACTGACACTCACTGTGGGCATCACCCGTCGCCATGCATGTAAAGAAAGGGCCTTTGGCAAGTGAGCTGGCCAGTCAATGTCTTGTAATAAATTAAATGCAAAATATAGACAACAAACTGGCCAAAAGACCCTTACGGTGTTTGGCCAGTTTGTTGTTTCATATTTTGTTTCATATTATGTCTTACTCTTGCCAGCTAGCTGGCCTCTTAGCCGTTTTGGGGTTGTTTCAGTTGCCAGCAAGCTGGCATGTGGCCAGCTAGCTGGCCGCTTTTTGCAATCTTCCTCATTCTGAACAGATGCGTCAGTGCCACCTTAGCACACTGATCTTGGCTGTTCGAATTGCCATGAATTTTGATCCTGGCCAAAATATCATTAACGATTCCAAAAAAAAACAGCATGGATGTTTCCAAGAATGGTTGTTTCTTTAGCATGGATGCTTCACTGGCATCTGATTTGGGCAATTTTCAGTGCATGTGATGCTTCTTCAGCATGGGAAAATGCATGTTATGCTTCTGCAGCATGGGGCAATGCATGTGATGATGCTTCTTCAGCATGGGAAAATGCATGTTATGCTTCTGCAGCATGGGGCAATGCATGTGATTGATGATGCTTCTTCAGCATGGGACAATGCAACATGATCCATTAATTTTAAGGGCAATAATTTGATACAATTGATCTATTAATATTACTAATTAGTCCACATTTAAATACATTTGGTCTAGATCTTATTTAACTGAGGCAACTGGCCTTTCATTTTTTATTTTGATCATGTCATAATTAAATAGTACAATTCCATTCTCCAACCAACTCATCATCACAAATGGATATTTTTAACCAGAGACACTGGTGTAAACATTGAAGCACATCATCAAGCACTTGGAACTTGCCATGGGGCATAGTTTTTGTATTCCCTTATTCCCGCTGAACCGCCAGTAAGTAAATCATCCATAACTATGGAAAATCATCATGTTTTATAGGTAATTAAATGAACTAGTTCTATGGCCATGTTCATCCATTTTCAATGGCTATGTAAACTTACCTGAGGGTAACTATTATTGAACAGTCAACTTACCCTCTGATAAACTAACACTTCGCAAACTGGAAAATCACCATCTTTAATAGGTAAACCTATCTATTACTTAATTTTCCAGAGGGTCTATCTTAATTTTCCAGAGGGTAATCCCCACTATATCCCATTAAATCCCATTAAATCTCATCAAACTGTAATTCCAGAGGAAATCACTTATGAACCGCTCGGCCAGCAACCAAGTGGGCCTGTCGAGGTGTCTTCCGCGGCGTGGGATCAGACAGTGAAAGTCTGGGACGCCATGCGAGGGGCCGGGGGCCCCGGTCTCAGGATCGTGGGCCTGTGCCTGCAGTTATAGCCCTTAACAATATTATATAATATTATATATATATATATATATATGTATATCATTATATAACGTTTATAACCTTAGTTGCAGCAGTTTTTTTGATATAACTTTTTAAGGGCCATTTTGAATTTATCCCATGTATAACTTTAATAACTTTTCCCATTTATAACTCTAAAGGGTCATAACAGTGAAAACCGCAAGACTAATATTTAGCAATAATTAATGCTGTAAAACAAATGCCATGAACCATGTCAGTCCTCCTAGATATTTACTGTATCTAATTAGGGGGGACGTGGATTGTATAAAATCAGATTCTGAAGGGATGTGTTTGTCATCATTATTGTGGGGATGTTGATCCATCAAACAACAAGTTGTGGGTTATCTTAAATCATCGCAGCCATAGAAATATACCTTATATCCAATAAGAAACCAAATTGGGGATGGTTTATTGTCGGGTTTACCACAGTCACAGTAGATGATGGTATGGGTAGCTACCTCTATCGGTGATAGAGGAATGGCGACCCCTATTTGTGTCCATTGTTTTGTATAAAATATAAACCTTTCTGGGAAAAACATGTAGTGGTATAATATATATATATAATAAAGGTATCTATATTTTTGTTTGTGATTTGTAGGATGAACCGTTCTTAAGTATCTTCATCCCCGAGTTTTTGCGGATGTTTATCCCATGTTCCCCACACTTTCCCACCAAAATCAACCCGAGAATCACCGTTTTGCTCGTTTTTTTTTCAGGCTTCCATCAGCACCTTTCGAGCACATCAGCAGTTGGCCTATGCGGCCATTTGGTCTCCTGCCAGGCGGTGGGGTAAGATGAACGTCCCATAACCATACTGTGGGCGTAGGTCACCTAAGTGGACCTTTTCGTGGGATTGTCCTATAGTTCACTTAGGGATATAGATATAGCAGTTATCCTATAATATATCTATAACTAACTATGATATAGATATCATCCTACAACAATTTCGTGGGATTGCTTATAGACTTTAGAATTCTTATAGATATAATTAACCAGTTACTTAAGTGGGATGATCTTCCAAGCATAGCCATATGTTTCGCGTGTGGTATATTTATATACCTACATAACTGGGTGATTTGTTCGTGTACTGGAACATATAGGATATAGCAACAGCCAGTTTGAACGGTTGAACCGTTGAAAACCTGCAGTCCTCAGAACACCTGTCGTTTTTTTGTTTTTTCGGGGGAATCCTATATTTTCCAGGTTTTGTATATGCATTGCAAAGTGTTGGTAAATGTTCCATACATGGAGCATGCTGGTCGTGTTTGCAACCTCATAGCGTGTTTGCAACCATGTTTTTAAGGTCTTTATTTGGGGCTATCTTTTTGTAAGAATCTAAGTTGGGCCCAGCCACATTATACTTATAAAACTTGGCTCCAAGACCTCCCCTGAAATTTCATCCGGGATATAAATGGTCCATTTTCCATAGATATGCTAGTTTACTGGAGGGTACTATGTACACATTGGTGTTCCGTATGTTCCCTTCATGTTTTTGTTGGGGATGTTCCAGCAAATTCAAATGACCAGTGAATCTCTGGTTCACTCGGCCTGAAATGAGGAGGCAGTTTGAGTTCCCAGGCCAGTTTTTCGCAAGTCATGCGATGGGTTCAGGGGAACATTTATGGCGAAACAGAACATACAATCATACAAGTGTAAATTAAGTCTACAGTATATAAGTCTAGTATATATATAAGGAAATGGAAATCAAAGGTAAAGGAAATGATTGAAAGAATCAAAAAATCATGACCTCAGGAAAGCAGCTGGACACAATAGTGTACCCTCCAAACAAACCACACTATTGTGTACCTGGATGTAATTTTCTGTGCAAGGCATCTGGAAAATTTCAATGATGGAAAATAAAAAGTAAAAGAAAAAAGCTTAAAAAAATGAAAAAATGAAAAATGTTTGAACAAACAGAAACAAGACCAAGACACAATTGTGTATCCTGACACAATGACACAACTGTGTATCCTGACACAATTTAATAACATAATAATAAAATAAAATAATATAAAAGAAAATATAATTAAACATAAAAATACAAATAATTAAATTAAAAAATATTATAATTAAAAATAAAAATAAATACTTTAAAATAAATACAAAAAATCAATTAAAAAATATTATAATTAAAAAAATAAAGATATTTTAAAAATAAAATTTAAAAATAATTAAATAAAAAATAAACAAAATATTATAATTAAAAATAAAAATAAAAAACAATTAAAAACTAAAAAACAAAAAAAAAAGAAAAAACAAACTTACACCAACATCCTGTGGACACAAAACTGTACCCCTCGATCATTTCCAAAGATACAAAATAAATCAAAATAATTTTGGAGTCTGTGGACACAATTCTGTATCCCCACACTAATCTGTATCCCACATTAATATATATATATATACATGTATACATAAATCGACTCAATGGCCCATTGATGTTTATCATCCGCTGGATAGGTCCTACAGATCAAACCATCTAGGGCACTTTCCACTCATAGAAATTATTTACTGGGTATTCGAAATTGGAAAATTCAGGCGAATCACTTAATTTTAAACCATGCTTTGTTATTGTTTCAAAATGTTTCAAACATGTTGAAACTGGTTTGCAAAATCATTGACTTGTTCTTTGTGGCATTATTTAGAGGCCTCAGCTCTCAAAACAAGGAGTGGATGACCAACACATATGATAAAACTATCAACCTGACTTGGTGATCATGGGATTAGCGAACTTGAAACCCTGTTCCCCAAGCGACTTATTGTCTCTTGGGTATGCCAAAACTGTTGAAAACTCATGAAATTCATTGAAGATCCGTGACGCTTCATGATGTGAAATCGTTCCCCCCGTCGCTGCCAAGTCGCAGCGAGGCCCGCCTGCTTGGCCACGGTGGGTGGGGATGCGATGCTACACATCCAGGCCCTGGTGACTGTGACTTCCAGTGGTGGACGTACTTGATGATCATCCCAGGTAACTATGGAAAATCACCATTTTTAATGGGTAAATCAACTATTTCTATGGTCATGTGCAAACTGTTAGTCATTACCAGAGGGTAGTAACCGCTTAATAACTATGTAATACCCTATTTAAATATGTACAGCCCCGTTGTAGATGGGACTTTTTTGTGGCAATCCCAGTGAAGGGACGACCCCGATCACGAATCGGTTACCACGTAAACGATTCGTGGGATGATACTCCAAGGAGCTATGAATCGTGTGTCGCCACATGATATTTTCCCTGGTGAATCAAGACGCAAAGATGCCCCATGCAAATGTCCATCTATTGCGGGTCAATCTCCAATTTTCAGACATCCATGTCCATGACTTGATCACTATACTTACGATGTGGGGCCCGCTGATTATATGTTAGTTTATAACCCCATCTAACTATACTTATAAGTACCATAAACCCTAGTTATTGTAATTTGTAGTTGTACACCAACTTTGCCATCCTGGGGGCCCCACATTGTACTGGTGAATTCCACATTTCCATTTCTCTGGCTAAACATCCTTTTTCGATCATTTCATTACCCTCGTTCTGGTGAACGTTTACATAGGAATATCACGCTTTTCAATAGGTAAATCAACGAACTCAATTGGAAATTTTCCATAGCATGTTATTCCATAGCAGAGGTTCCAGAGAATTACCACTAGGTAGATTATGATCCCATTGAAAATCCCATTAAACACCCATTAAAAAAAAAAAAAACAGCTTTGGGCAGGTTCCAGAGAATTCCACTCGAAACCATGAACAAAAATCACAAGCCCTCCGGGAGCCCCTTGCGCGCCCGCGCGCATCGCGCAAGGACCTCAATGCGGGCGAGCGGCCTGTGCAGAGCATTCAGGCCGGGTTTTTCTCACGAATCTGGGATTTAAGCTGAATCCTCCAGCCCATGTGTTTATTGTTTTATAATGTATATATATATATATGTATATAACTAATTATATCCAATGGTTTTTCACCAATATGATATTATTCATTGCGTTCAAAAAACTACGAGGTGGTGTCCCCGCAGCTGTACGTTTGTTGGTCTCACCCCATGGATACGATAGTTCTCAAAGGAAGTTTAGTTCGCAAACTTCCGAGTTACGGGCGCATGTCCATGGTCAGTTTTGTCATCATGTCAACCACGGCAGTTCGCAGGTGGGAACAGTATACACAGAGCTCCGGAAAAGTCACGTTTTATAGTTTATAATTTGTCTAAACGAAGTTATTATTTTACAGGAAACCATGGTTTTAACCATTAAATATGGTGGTTTCCTGTAAATTTTCCCTTGAACCAACTCAATGATATTTGCTCAACTTAGGTTGTATCTTAACCCTCTTGTAAAAGTTAATTGTGGTATTATTACCGTACAACTGGGTGTTTTACAATGGAAATTTTGGTGGTTTCAAACATGCGAAATGTGCACGCCTACAAAATGGATTATATATTCCCCATATTCCCCAATTCGATATTTGTTTAGCCAATATGTTCCCAAAATATTTGTTGGTTCATAGTTACACTGACAAACATGTTTTTCAGGGTTTCTCACGGGCTGATGCTCCACCTTGCAGCAGGCACATCAGCATGAGATTCTGACGGTGGATTGGTCATTTGGCGAAGCTGGCGAAATGCGGTGCTGTGTTTTGATGAGTAAATCATAGGGAAAACATGGGATCAACAATAAAGACTGTGATTTGACTTGGAATTTTAGGGATAACCACAAACATTTTGATGTGTTTTTCTTTTCTTTGTGATTATTCTTGTAATTCACATAGGTAATTGTGTTGGTAGACCAATAAATGTGTGACTTCTAGTCCAACATATGGCGTCTAACCAGCCAACATGGTGACAAGTCATGGTTCCGGAAAACCTATTGGTGCTCGTGATGTCGCAACCCCACTGGCAGTATATCACCAAGTATAAATGATGGGGAGGATTGGGGAAAAACATCACACACATAGTACTTGGTGGCTCATCCCACTTAGTAAGTGGGTTATAACCCCAGTTATAAATGGGATAAGTAGGGTTAATCCACTTATAACTGGGGTTATAACTCACTTACTAAGTGGTGGGATGAGCCACCAAGTATACACAATATGCAATCATAAGTTAAGACATGATCGCTATATCGTTAATGGGGTTCATAAACCAACTATCCATGCCCCCGATACAACTTCGGCAGCCTCAGAAAATCACCAAATTCCAGGCTTTTTGCTCCCAACATCTCCCAACCATCATTTGGATGGCGAAAAAAAACATGTTACCGAAACCCGTTTGTTTTTTTGTGGTCTAGTGGCAATTGCAATCCACCTTAATATATCATAATATATCAATACTTATATTCTGGGGTCTCTGGATGTTTGAGAGATGTTCTTCTTCCTGATTCACAAAATGTGCGCCCATATGGACAGTCAAATACTGTACATCACATAGCTGGGTATGAAACGCCTTATACAGAGTGCGGGCAGAAGCAACTTTGTTTCAGATGGTCTGCTTGTCTCTCAAGTATAGAGGCTAATATCAAACATTGGGACTGGCTCAAAAATAATTTGCCAAATATGGGTTTAATAATGTTAAATACGAGAAATGAAACATGCGGGTCTGGGTCCCAGCTTGGAGACTCTGGTTTCATCAAGCCTGAGCAGTCGCAAGTCGTCTCGCGAGGAACAAGTACAACGAGTTCATGGTGGTCACGGGAAGCAGCGGACTCCCAGTGGGCTGGAGAATGTCTCTGTGGTGATGCTGATGCTGATGATGATGATGATGATGCTGACGACAATAATCTTCACAATGAACAATGTACTTAACAATGGATTCTTGTTGACATGTGTTGCAGTTTCACCCGGAAAAACACCTGACTCAGCATGCCCAGACTCAGTGGTGTTTACCTGATATTCGACAGTTCGTTCCGCCTCAGGCGTCGACAAGACGATCCGCACCTTTGATCTTCGGAACTTCGGCCAACCCCTGCAGGCGGTTCACTGTTGACCTGAAAAAGGGGTTGAGTCGTGGAGGGCACCCAAAAAAATGTATATGTTTTCCCAAAGAAATGTAAGATGAGCAATGTTTTGTTCAGGTTTCTGTTTGCTTTTACATGGGTTTCACCAGAACTGGAATGCTTTGATACTTGGAACGGCAAGCATTTTTCAGGTCTTCACAAAGCCAGTGCGGTCAGCACCAGGTGCAAAGAGTCCATCCAGGGCCATAGAATGCCATAGATATGTCTACTTGGCAGGGGAAATAGATCTACTAGTCATATAGATATGATATATCTAGTTATAACATTGAGATCTATATATTTAGTATATATATATATACCTACCATAAATCCTAATAGGTTACCTACTTATGAAACAGCTAAGCTATCGGGGCACCGGCGGTTTGCGAAGCTCCGGACGCTCGCCAGATTTTGCATGGACATCAGCTTGCCGTGAAACGAGCCACTTGGGAATCGCAGGGTGATGCTCCTGATGTCCCCGGGTTTTGAAAGGGGTGGAACTCCCTTGATTTTAGGTACTCAACCCCAAAAAGATCAAAAGTAACATATTCCTTAAATATTGGGAAAAAGTTGTTCTCTCTTTTTTTGGGGGTAATTTAGGTAATTACTCAATTTTGAACCATATAATACACTAATGATGCTATGTTGGATGTGTTGACCCTGTTGCGGGACTTTGCAGGTCTTGGAAAACACGATGCCAATGGACAAGCTCTATCCATCCGAGATTTCCCAAAACAAAAACATGTTGAGTTTTTCCTTTGCTACAAGGTAAGGCCCCCAGTTTGTTGGCTTAAACCCTCCCATGACTAGTTCGTTCCGATGATATCATATTATATCCCCCGAATCAACCCAACAGTTCACCACCTTGCTATCCCATGACGGATCCATGGTGCTGCTATATATGGTAACATTTACCATCCATATACCCCATTCATGTTAGCATATATATATATATACCATACATGGATCCTATGGGTATGTTGAATAACCATAGATTGAAGCCAACAGTTCGGGATAGTTTCTTCAACTTGTTGCCGCAGCACCACGGATGGCCATGACAGCGCAAGGTCAAATGCCATCCCTTCAATGAGACGCAGATCGCCGCGGGCCAAGCTTGCTGGATCAGTGGATCTATAAATATCCACTGCCGGAGGGTAAGTTCCAAATATAAATATAATAACTATATATATATTGATATATGCATCTTGGTTAACATGTACCTTGGTTAATATCTAATATGTAGCTTGGTTAAAATACACCCCAGCTGCTAGGCATGGATACTTCAACAGCATTTTACTCGTACTTTAGCATCTCGATAGGCATCATTTTGTGAAAACATCATTTCGTTTGCCCGTACCAGTCAGTTGACCATTTCTAGATATTGTCTTGGAATATTGTAACCTGTTGTGTGCCTTGTAGGTTCGCCGAAGTATATTGATTTCCCAATTCACATTTAAACAGTGGACCTGAATCCTGAGGATCCCACCGATGTGTTGTTCTTAAGGTTTTCAGCAAGATGTATATCTTACATTATCTTACAACATGTCACAGCAAAACTTCTGTTTGCATGGTACATCCACCTGACTAGACAGATAACTATGGAACATCCCCATTTTTCATGGGTAAATCCACTATTTCTATGGCCATGTTCAATAGCTATTGTTATTTTACCAGAGGGTACCAATATATTTCACTATGGTCAGGTATTTTGATGATATATCACTAATATATTTCACTCTCAAGTCAGGTATTTCGCATGTTTACCGGAGGGTAACCTGACAAGTGCTTAAGTTGATGCTCAGGTCTCGTGTTCGTATGATACCTCAGTGAACGTCTTTGATATGGCCATGGGGCAAATGTCTGGAGTCCTGGAGTCTTCGGAGCCTTCAGTGCAGCGCTTCCATTGGCTTCCATCATGTTCCATCCATATATTTGGGTAGCTTAAAACATGTTAAAACCACCAAGCAGTTATAGATATCTATGTTACATATCCAGGGTACCCTCTGGTAAATTAACTTGTTGACCCTGAAAATCAGCAATTTTTAATGGAAACTAGTCTTCCAACCCGTATCTGCCAGGGTCTATGTTAATTTACTGGAGGGTAAATGGTTAAGCTATATCAACATATATGATCATTAATATGGATGTATGTTAGATACTAGGTCAATCGACTGGATGGGTAGAAACTAATCCTGCTATGTCTTTTCAATGGGATTATCTACGATCACCAGCTAAGAATTTATGTGTGTTGCAAGGTATCTAAGATTGACCATGGTACGACACCATTTTTTTTACATAGGGCCCAGGCATAATATCAGGATCTCACAAGTTCTGCTCCTGAAACTATCCAGTGCTTACAAGGGAACTCAGGAGCTATGGGTATCCATGATGCCCTATTAATTTTTAATCAAATTAATTAGGAGCCAAGGAACTTCAAGGAACTGATCCTTTGAATTCTTTCATTATCTGATTAATGGGTATCAACTATGGGTATCATGATAATGGGTATCAGCGATAATCTAATTAATCAATGTTTAATCATTTGGTTAATGGGTATCATCTCAACGTTTCCCAGATGATAGCTGATCCTTTGAATCAACTCCTTTGTTCAATGGGAGATCTTCAGGATCCTAAAATGGAGGTACGTTAGTACCATATTTTCCATATTTTTGGCCATATTTTGTGGGGATATTCCCTTACATAGGCCTAAGGCCTAACAAATAGGCCTTATTATATGGTAGGTACTTCCATTTTAGGATCCTGAAATGGCCATTGATTTGTTGCCACCTTTTTTTCGTCACTTGTTGTCACTATCGCTATATACGTCTTCTGCCTTAAGGGGGCGTGTAGTCACCTTAAAAACACCATCAAAAACGTCTAACGGCTGTTCATAGCAATAGCTAACTCAGTGTTTCTTCCACGTGACCTGGGATCAATACACAGCACCAGTGCTGGATGGTGGTGACTGGAACATGAATGGATTATGACTTTCCTATAGATATGTTAAGTTACCAGAGGGTACACTATATCTGGTTGGTGGTTTGGAATATTTTTTAACGACTTTCCATTCAGTTGGGAATGGAATGTCATCCCATCCCAACTGACGAACTCATATTTTTCGGGTAGGTATACCACCAACCAGATGAAATTGGGGGGCGGGACATAAATCCCAGCTATTTCGATGTGAGCAGAAGAGTTTTGCCTTCCACCATCATCAAATTAGTTGCAGAAAGCCAGAACGTGAATCCTTGCAAATGTAATCTCAAAGCTGGCGAACAGTGCACAACCCTGGCGACACCGCCTCGGCCAAACACAGGGTTTTGACTCATCCCCATACCGTGAAAATCCGAAGTTCTTATTTCTTTTGGTGCAATCCCAATTTCTTCTGGTGAATCGCCCATTAACTTGCCTAGAAGGTTGGTTTGACAATCCATTGGTTTATCATTATGTTGTTGTTTATCTCCCAGGAATGTCCGTTGCATATCCGTGAATTCTATTCCAGCACATCCAATGAAATGTTTGGTTTGATACCTAAGGACTTCGGTCTGTGTGTTTGATTGCTGAATATTTGATTGTGTTTACTGGTTCTTAAAGATTCATGCCTTCTTAATTTTTGGTACAGCATTATATACAATATAACAGCAGTAAGGGTTTGTCTGAAAATAGGGTATACCCTCAAGACTTGAAATGTTTATCATGTTCCACCTTAGTATTATCATATATTGTGAGTACATTTCCAATGTTCAGGTACCAAAAATCCACCCTTTTTCTCCCAGCTGCTGGCAACTCCTACAATATTGCCTTTGCTGGCCAATATCACTAATCAGCTAATTATATCCCAGAACAACACCCAAAAAGATGGTCAATACTAACTGTTAGCTTCATATCATCAGAGATCCGCAATACTAATATCGATATCCAATCTCTGTCATACGATAAAATTGGTTTTGTATTGATGGATACTCCACCAACTGTTGCCATCCATATGATCCAAACATGTCCAAACCAACCAGCAATCAACAAGTAATGCTTCAAGGTGACCAGTTATGTTTGTTATGTTGCTTTATATCCCCCTAAACAACCCACCAATTAATCAAGTTTGATGCGTCAACTTAGAGCTCATCACAAATCAGCTGTATGATAGTTATTTCTATATGCATATAAATTCCATGAAATAAAATGTGTCTTATTTTGGTTGGCTAAAAAACACAATGTTTCCTAACAAATCAGCTACTGTTATGCATATATATATATATATCCGATCAGAAAGTCTTATATATAATTATAAATATATGTATATTCCATATAAATATATGTGTGAATGATTCAAATCTATATTACTAAATTACGTATATATATATATATATATGCAATGAAAATTCCCATGAAAAGTGCTTCTCGTGATTTCCTTGGTGATTCCCATCATTCGCATTTCCCAAAAAACATCGATTGGTTGGTCGTGGAAGGGTGCAGCACTTTGACCAACACACGGAGTTCACCCTCGGCATCGACCTGAGCCTTTTTGAGGCACCCGGGACCCGGCCAGTGTTTGAAACCCTTTGACCATGGTCGACCCTAAAAAAGATACGATACCACCCCAAGAAAATTATGGAAAAGTGATAATTTTATGATTGAATTTTTCTGATAATATTATAACTTTAGCTAATCCTATTATCATTATGTTATAATGATAATTATCAAATTCTGCGGTACAGTGATAATTTTTATGATGCTGGGTCTAGGTTTTGTAGCCGGAGATGGGACTGTTGTGTTTTAATGCTTTAATATTGTTTTTTAATGGGAAACAAGTGATGGTCATTCATTTCTGTTGTATCGTTTTAATGGGGAAAAGTAATGATCATGCATTTGTTGTTTGTTTTGATGAGCTGTTACTTGTAATTGTAGTGGGGAAGAAATGGATGATGATGATGAACCACATTATTTTTTTGAATTTGATGGCCGTTTGAATGTTTCTTTATGGGAACCATTATGATCAATCATGTTATGCTGTTTTGATTTGTGGTGTAATGAAAAAACATATTGCATTTTTTGTTGGCAAACTATGGGAACATGATGAACAACTTTGGGTTGTGGGGGTCTGAAAATTGGAGGATAGGCACGCCATATTGCCATAGAGATTTAGGGAACTGATCATAACCCAGAAACGATCAATGCCCTGGGTTGTAAAAGGACAAAAAATCAGAGGTTGGTCCTCTGGTGGGCTCTGCCCGTGTGCCCGTGTGCCCGTGGATCGGGGTTGTGCCCGTGTGCCCGTGTGCCCGTGTGCCCGTGGATCGGGTTGTGCCCGGGTGCCCGTGTGCCCGGGCCAGCGACAGGTCCAGAAGTCCAGAAGTGACTCGTTTGCAGGCAGTTGCAGTCTGTCTTTTGGTTCCCCAAACGGTCCGTCCACAGTGAGGGGTTCTTATACGGTAGGTGTAAAGGCAGGTGCCTGATCTGGGTGCTCCTCACTCTGGTCTGCAGCTTGTTACCTGTAAATTTCCGTATGGTGCGGCTCTTGTGACATGTTGAAGTGCATTTCGGCTGCGCAGGCTCGCACAAAGTGTATGTCTGCGTTCTGGCCTCATCGGTCTTCCTCCTCAACATCCTCCTCCTCAACATCAACATCTTCCTACTCAACATCAACATTATCATTTTCCTCTCCCTTGACACCAACTTCAATCGACTCCGCAGTACACAGCGGATGTTCCAGCTAGGAATGTTTGATTGGTAATTAAAATTTCCCAACTGGCATGTCATGACGATGTCCTAGGACTGATATGTGTCCGTGTGCCCGTCTATCTATGTATTGATCTCTCTTTCTCCCTCTTTCTCTATCTCTCTCTCTCTCTCTTTCTCTCTCTCTCTCTATCTGTATCTCCGCCTCCCTTGCTACTTATTGATTTATGCTTTTGCCTATGCATCTATATGTCTGTGTGTCTGTCTTTCTATCTTTCTATCTATCTACCTATCTGTCTGTCTGTCTGTCTGTCTGTCTGTGTGTCAACCGGTTGCCGCAGCATGATGTCATGGCAGCATGAGCTCGTTGCCCGTCGTTGTAGACCTTGGTGTTTGTTTGACGTTCCTTCTTGTTGCATGACCATGTGGTTGCCTTGTTGTTTGCATGCAACTTTGTTCCGCTGTGCTGTGATGCCTTGATCTAATATTAATGTCGACATGCGGCGTTTCGGTGCTGTCTGCTGTAGATGACATGTCGCTGTCCTTGCCGTGTTGTTTGCGTGCAGCTCAATGACGTTGTCTTGCCTTGATCTTAAGTTAATTTCCACATGTGTCGTTTTGGCTCCGTCTACCGTAGATTCCTCCTCTCCCTTCCTACATATCCATTTATCCTTTTGCCTATGTATCTATATGTCTTCGTGTCTGTCTTTCTATCTATCTACCTATCTATCTATATGTTTGTCTGTCTGTGTGTCAACCGGTTGCCGCAACATGACGTCATAGCAGCATTATGAGCGCGTTGCCCGCCGTTGTAGACCTTGGTGTTTGTTTGACGTTCCTTCCTGTTGCATGACCATGTGGTTGCCTTGTTGTTTGCATGCAACCTTGTTCCGCTGTGCTGTGATGCCTTGATCTTATGTTAATTTCGACATGCGGATTTTCGGTGCTGTCTGTAGTAGATGGCATGTCGCTGTCCTTGCCGTGTTGTTTGCGTGCAGCGTAATGTCGTTGTTTTGCCTTGATCTTAAGTTAATTTCCACATGTGTCGTTTTGGCTCCGTCTACCGTAGATTCCTCCTCTCCCTTTCTACTAATCGATTTTTCCTTTTGCCTATTTATGTATCTATATGTCTGTGTGTCAACCGGTTGCCGCAGCGTGATGTCATAGCAGCATGAGCTCGTTGCCCGCCGTTGTAGACCTTGGTGTTTGTTTGACGTTCCTTCTTGTTGCATGACCATGTGGTTGCCTTGTTGTTTGCATGCAACTTTGTTCCGCTGTGCTGTGATGCCTTGATCTAATATTAATGTCGACATGCGGCGTTTCGGCGCTGTCTGCTGTAGATGGCATGTCGCTGTCCTCGCCGTGTTGTTTGCGTGCAGCTTAATGTCGTTGTTTTGCCTTGATCTTAAGTTAATTTCCACATGTGTCGTTTTGGCCCGGTCTACCATAGATTCCTCGTCTCCCTTTCTACTTTTGGATTTATCCTTTTGCCTATGTATCTATCTATCTATCTATCTAAACTAATCTTATCTAATCCAATCTAATCGAATCTAATCTATCCTATCCTGTCCTGTCCTATCCTATCCTATTCTATCGTATCCTTTCCTATCCTATCCTATCTATCTTATCTATCTTATCTATCTTATCTACCTTATCTTATCTTATCTTATCTTATCTATCTTATCTATCTTATCTATCTTATCTTTCTTATCTTTCTTATCTACCTTATCTACCTTATCTACCTTATCTATCTTATCTATCTTATCTTTCTTATCTTTCTTATCTATCTTATCTTTCTTATCTATCTTATCTATCTTATCTATCTTATCTATCTTATCTATCCTATCTATCTCATCTATCTTATCTATCTTATCTATCTTATCTATCTTATCTATCTTATATATCTTATCTATCTTATCTATCTTATCTATCGTATCTATCGTATCTATCTTATCTATCTTATCTATCGTATCTATCTTTTCCATCTATCCATCTATCCATCGATCCATCTATCCATCTATCCATCTACCTATCTACCTATCTACCTATCTACCTATTGATCTCCCTGACCCTTATCTTATCTTATCTAGCGGGGGGGGGGGGGTATCTTATCCATTTATCCCATCTATCTTATCTATCTTATCTATCTTATCTATCTTATCTATCTTATCTATCTTATCTATCTTATCTATCTTATCTATCTTATCTACCTTATCTATCTTATCTATCTTATCTATCTTATCTATCTTATCTATCTTATCTATCTTATCTATCTTATCTATCTTATCTATCTTATCTTTCTTATCTATCTTATCTATCTTATCTATCTTATCTATCTTATCTATCTTATCTATCTTATCTATCTTATCTATCTTATCTATCTTATCTATCGTATCTTTCTAATCTATCTTATCTATCTTATCTACCTTATCTACCTTATCTATCTTATCTATCTTATCTATCTTATCTATCTTATCTATTTTATCTTTCTTATCTATCTTATCTTTCTTATCTATCTTATCTTTCTTATCGATCTTATCTATCTTATCCATCTTATCTATCTAATCTATCTAATCTATCTAATCTTTCTAATCTATCTAATCTATCTATCTTGCCCGGGTGCCCGGGTGCCGGTCGATTGCCCGTGTGCCCGTGTGCCCGTGTGCCCGTGGATTGCTGGTGTGCCCGTGTGCCCGTGTGCCCGTGGATTCCTGGTGTGCCCGTGTGCCCGTGTGCCCGTGGATTCCTGGTGTGCCCGTGTGCCTGTGTGCCCGTGGATTGCTGGTGTGCCCGTGTGCCCGTGTGCCCGTGGATTCCTGGTGTGCCCGTGTGCCGGTGTGCCCGTGGATTCCTGGTGTGCCCGTGTGCCCGGAGGCCCGTGAGGAGACCTATCTCTCAAAAATCAAGGTAAACTGACTGGTGAAATTTGAGTAAAGTTGTGTCAAAACAAAAATGCTATAGATGGGATGTGTTTCTTTCGATGCCAGTTCGACTTAGGGGTTTGAAAACCACTGGTTCCCAGGAAAACGATCTAAAAAAACATGGTGGGTTTTCCACGTCGCTGTAAACGTTTAAGCAGTGCACCCCCGATCGTTGGCGGAGTCATCTTTTTATTTGGCTTTGAAACCAATGGGCACGGTATGGGTTCCATAGAAGGTGGTGCCCCCCCAGTGATGTTTGCTGGTTTATAAACCATTATGTTTTATATAAACCATAGATATATAAACCATGGATATATAAACCATAGTTACTATATTATCAACCATAATAAACCATAGATATATCTACCATAAACCATAGTTATTGGAATTATAAACCAACTTAGTAAACGAACTGGGGCACCACCTTGTATGACTCAACATGTCAGGGCACTGTTTTTGCCACATGTACTCACCGTGTCGATCCGGCACCCGGTCGAGCTCGTAGGAGAATGTGATTGCCAGCACTTCATGGGTCTGAGCCTTAAAGATCAACTGTTCGCTTACCCTATGGCGTTATGGCCCGAAATACCAGGTATCCTCTGTTTATGTCAAAGTAGCTATTGAAAATGGCCATTTATAGTGAGTTTTCCCATTGGAAATGGTGATTTTCCATAGTTATTTTAGTTTACCAGAGGGTATAAGTATTGAACTAAGCCCATAAAAATGGAATGTGTTCTATCCCATAGAAATCACCAGTTATAACATGTTATAACCACTTATAATTGGTAAATGGCCATAACTGTGGCTTGCCCTATCAGCAGTGCAATTGCGGAGATGCTTGGGGTAACCATTGAGAGCTCCACGAAGGATGATGAAGGTGCAGGGCAAGGAAAGGAAGAAGGAAAGGATGAGAAGAAAGAGAAGTCCCGGAGCACAGAACAAGTCCATCAAGCCAAATTCAAGAGCTTCCTGGAAGGTTTGGGAGAGTTGGGAGGCCAATTCAAAGCGGTGTCGGATGCACAAAAAGGTCAGGCAAAAGCGAAAGCTAGCGCAAAGGCTGCAGGCTCTGCAAAAAAAGCCTGAGGAGTACGACGATCAGTAGCCAAGTGATTCAGAGGAGACAGGAAAGGAAATCAAAACGAAATCGGAGGCTATGAAAACCTACGGGTTCAAAAAGGCTCTTGTGGTCAGGTTCCTTGGGCACACGATTATGGCAGATGGTCAGGACTACAATGATGTTGATGTCATCGTCTTGGGCAACATGCTTGGTGTGACCTTGCCAGCTGACGGAAATCAAGCTGCAGATGCCATGAACCGGTTTGATGGCATTGTCCACGAAGAAGGATACTCTGCCTACAAGTCAGCATTGGTCTTGGTCAAATGAGCATGGTTCATCTTTGGCAACGATCGGGACCTTTTCACCGAGTAGAACAACATGGCTATTGAAAATGGCCATAGAAATAGATTTTCCCATTAAAAATTGTGATGTTCCATAGTTTTTCCCCACCTGCCGGTGAGGGTTGTTAGATTTTCTCAGAGTTGTTCTCCTCCTTCTCCTTCTCCTCCTCCTCCTTCTCCTTCTCCTCCTCCTCCTTCTCCTCCACCACCTCTGCCTTCACTTCCATGTCCACTTCCGCCTTGCCAACTCTTCGCCAAGCTCTTCGCCAACTTCCGCACGCAGTGGCCACTGCTGGACCTCAACTGCAAGGGTCTGAGCGCACTGGGCACCGCTGGACCTCAACCTGGGACCTTCCGAGCTCAGTGAGCACCGCTGGACCTCAACCTGGTGCTGGACCTCAACCTGGGACCCTCCGAGCTCAGTGAGCACCGCTGGACCTCAACGGCCAGATAGAATGCCAGAAGATATGCCAGATAGAACGCCAGATAGAATGCCAGAAAGAATGCCAGAAGATATGGCAGATAAAGTGCCAGAATGATTGCCAGATAAAATGCCAGAAGATATGCCAGATAGAATGCCAGAAGATATGCCAGATAGAATGTCAGAAAGAATGCCAGAAGGTATGCCAGATAAAGTGCCAGAAGATATGCCAGATAGAATGCCAGAAGGTATGCCAGATAGAATGTCAGATAGAATGCCAGAAGGTATGCCAGATAAAGTGCCAGAATGTTTGCCAGAACATATGCCAGAAGATTTGCCAGATTAGAGATGCCAGAAGATAATGCCAGAACATATTGCAGAAGATATGCCTAGAAGCCAGAAGATCATGCCAGATAGAAGTGCCAGAAATAGCCAGATAGATTTCGAAAATCAGAAGTCTGCCTATAGTGCCAGAATGTTTGCCAGATAGACATGCCAAATATATGCCAGATAGATGCCAGAAGGTCTGCCAATAGAATTTCAGCTAGAAGGCCAGAAGGTAGCCAGATAAGTGTTTGCCAGAACATATGCCAGAAGATTTGCCAGATAGAATGCCAGAAGATATGCCAGAACATATTGCAGAAGATATGCCAGGTAGAATGCCAGAAGATATGCCAGTTAGAATGCCAGCAGGTATGCCAGATAAAATGCCAGAAGATATGTCAGATAGAATGCCAGAAGATTTGCCAGTAACAAAACGTATAGATGTCATGGTGGGGATAACTCGAAGTAAAGTAATTTGTATGTTTACCAGAGGGCATATTCGTCACGTTTCATCCCCAGGATCATCCTTGCAGGCTACATGGTCCAGGATTTGAGGTGAAAGAAATTGGTATTTTATGTCGGTAAAACTATCAATAGGTGGTATAAATAAACCATTCCCAGTCATGGCTGGTTTATGGCATTGTTTTACCCACATTAACCATCTAACCTAGAATCTAACCATTCAAAATTTGGGAAATTATTTTTGTCAGAATTAAGGAGTAATCCAACCAGAAATGATGACATTTGATGTAATTCACCCTCCGGTGTCATCAAACGTGGCTGGAAAAATCTACCATTGCGTTCATTGATTTGGCCTTAAACCTCCAGTTAGTTTGGGAGGTTTCCAATTGCCAAGTTTGATTGCTGGAGGGTATAAATGGGTATAACCATCCATAAGTTGGTATATGGGGCCCAGGTGTGGTTAGATATCCACTTAGTTCACATGCACCAAGTATGGTGCTGCAATACCAAGCATGGAACATATTGGGAAGGCTTTCAGGTTTTTCCAGTGGCTGGTGATATGTGAAGCTGATTTGGGACACTTATCATAGAGCAATGAGACGTATGTGAGACATTTCGCTGGCGTGATTTACCACGGTTCTTGCCCAAAATTGCCCAAATCAATTGCCTTCAATCCTTCCAGTCATTGGATTGAGGGAAAAAAATCAGGAACCCATGGTTTTTAACATTAAATATGGGGGTGTCCGGTTAAAATTTTCCCTTAAACCAATCCATTGAATCCTGGATGACCTGGAATTCACCATACCCTCTGGATTTCATAGGGTTTTTTTGTTGAGATACACTAATTTCCATGGGGATTTCTATGGGACAATGGCAGATTCCGGTAAGCTCCAGGGCTTGAAATCTCCATGGGTTTCTCTTACCTTTCTCCGTATTGAAGGTAGGTGAATGGTGGTGGTAGGTGTCCAAGTTTTTCTATCTATGATCTATGAATATCTATGATATTATATGTATATTACTATTGAATATATAGATTTCAGAATACATTATTATTGTGATATAATATATATATATATATGTATTTAAAACTTATATTACTTCATTTTTCCGGAAATCATTCTGAATACATATGAATAGGCCATGGCAGCACCGATTTGGGCGCGGTGCAGTGAGTTTCGTGGCGCCGTCGAGCTGCCATCGTTGCTGATTTGATCTGGCCTGACGAAATCGGACGGTTGACCGTTTCCCTTGATGAATTGTTGGGTTGCTGAGCAGGGGTTGGTAAATGGTGTTGATTAATGGTTAATTAATGGTTATTAATGGTGTTAATTTGGTGTTAATTAATGGTTATTAACCAAAATAAATGTCCCATTTTGGGAATATTGGACATCACCTGAAATAGTAGCCATGGCATTGACCATATACCATTCATGGTTGGGTGATGTGACCCATGGGGACATTTAATGACCCATGCTGAGGGGATAGAACGAACTATATATCCCATATGCTCCATGTATGCTCCATGGTGCTGGTATATTTACCTACATTTGCCCCAACAAAATCACCCAGTCATGTAGGTAAATATACCAGCACCATGGAGCATATGGGTATAGTTAATGGGTTTATAAATCAAAACTCGGATAAACCCATTAACTATATACTTAATCTAGTGGGGATAATCATAACCCATTAACTAACTATAACCCGTTGCCAAAACAAACGTTTCACTGGGGGATACTGACCTCACCTTTTTCGGGGGGTTGTAAACCCATCAGCTCAATGAAAGTCATCCCTTTATCAACTAACAGCAAGTATAGTCTGAATATGGTTCAAAGTTCAATCCATTTATTCGAAATATAACTCATAATTCATTCTACTAGCTAGTAAGTCGCATATTTCATCATATTTCATCATATTTCAGCATTTTTCCCTGTTCGCTACAAAAAAAGCAACCAAATCCATTTGATCTATGTATATATATATATATATAATAAATCACAATTCATGCATTTCCCTGTTCGTTTCTTGCCTAAAAAAGCCACCAGCTTAAGAAATCCCCTAGATCCGCCGAGGATTGCACCACCTGTGTTTGGAACTTGGCTCAAGGCGCGCGCTGTGCTGTCGTCGTTGTTTCATATGATCCCCATGTATTTGCGGCATCGCAATGTTTGCAGAATCCCCATGTTTGCTGGTGAAATCCAATGTTTGCTGGTGAAATATGTCAAACCAGCAGGGTTTTTGGGTGAAATCACCACAGAGACGTCGTTTCTTCGCTGTCTTGTTCTCGCACATTGCAGCAGGTCCACCACCGCCACCGCCGCCTGCCATAGTGATCTCCTCAGAGGTTGTTTCGGGTACAGCGGACCCGTTAGATAATAACCGATTAAGAATTTTCCAGCCTACCCTGGGGTTCTTAAGTGCTATAGGTGGAAAATATGGGAATAATGAACGAGGGTACCCTCAAGTTCTTAATAGGTGCAGGCATTCCAAACAGAGCTATAGGCCAGATATTCCACCATGCCAGGGATTGAAAGTTTATTTTGGCGTGGTATTTGGTTGCAACGGAGGCGGGGGGGGAAGAAAAAACTTTTTAGGTCCCGAAAAGTTTTTTCAGGTGCAGGCACCCCAAACGGAGCTACAGGCCAGATATTCCACCATGCCAGGGCTTGAAAGTTTATTTTGGCGTGGTATTAGGTTGCAAAGGAGGCAGGGGGAAGAAAAACACTTTTCAGGCCCTGAAAAGTAATTTAGATGCAGGCCTCCCAAACAGGCAGCACAGGCAAGACAAGCCAAGACAAGCCAACACAAGCCAAGGGCAGCCTCATCTGACCTTCAGTGAGTCCGACTGGTCTCTAGCTGAAGTTGTTGATATCAGCCTTACTGCCCTCGTAAGGGTTTGAATCTCTCTGGCGCCGCACCATGTTTGTCATGATGTTTCTTTTGAGAAGTAGCTGCTGCTAATATCTAATAATCAATGTTTTGTATATTGATACCCGTGAAATGGGAATAAGAACCAGCGGCTAGAAGTCCAGGGTACCCTAGGGTTCTTATTTTAATTAGCTGGCAGAGGGTTGAATCCAGCAATCCAGCCCCTGAAGTTCTTATTGCAGTAGGTTCTTAAACAGTGGTTTCACTGTGTCTATGAATCTTCTCACGGATTCTAGATATCCTTTTAGCTGCTAATCATATTTTAAATCCTATCCAATATAATTATTGATAGGGTTAGCCTATAATTGGGATTATATAGCATGAATTTAGTCAAATCTTTAATATTCTTATGAATTTGAATTAAATAACACTGTGTAATACAAGGGCATTTAATCTAATACTATGGTGAAATACTATCATTAAATAACATATTTCATGAGGGGTAAATGAATCTAGTTTTTTTTATGGTTCAATCTAGTTTTATATGGCTTTAATCTACTGTAGTGTTTTTCGATCATTAAATAACATATTACATTTTTTATAGGATATGGTGATTGATATACAGGGATAAGCATGGGTTCTTAATATCTATTTCTCGGTTCAGTAAATCATTACCCCTTGGATCCAGCCGTAGCTTCTCCTCGGTCGTAGTTGGGGTATGATTTCAGAGCTTAAGTGCGTTCTTCTTGAAAAAGTATTTGGAACATAGGGCATATTATGTAAGAGCAACGCTTAATTATATATATATATATTTATAGGTAGATAGATAGATAGATAGATAGAGAGAGAGACAGAGAGATAGACAGATAGGTAGGTAGATAGATAGATAGACAATGGAGTTAGCTAAAAGGTTGATTTTGTCGTGGAGTATATCCCCTTTTTAACTGGCGAAGGCTAGAGTTACGGCCCTTGACAAGTATAAATGGGATTCTAACAAAAATAATTTGTTGCCATGGTTATATATCATTATAAACCAGTTATATCATGGTATATCCAGTTATACATGTTAAGTTTTATTTAACTGTGGCCAGAGGAGACAGGGCCTTGTGACCTCCCATGGTCTCAGGTGAAGCGAATGCCGCAGCAGAAACCCATGTGAGTAGCTGCCGCGATGCCGCTGATGTTTCGGGGATGAGCCGTCAAGGAGGAACCAGTTTGCCAAGTTCTGCTAAGTTGGTTTGTATAAATCATGTTATGGTTACTAATATAGCTAGAAATTACTAAGTTTGATACTTGATTAGAGTTTCTGGCACATATTTTTTTTACGTCGATGGGTTTATAAATAACAGGGGGACACTGCCTGTTAGGAGACCCTCACAAACAACCATTTATTGAAGAAACTAGTGACAAATACCCCCTTCTTGCAAGGTCTTCACGGGGGATAACCATGAAATCAACATTGGAAATCAATTGCCCAGTCAGGGACCCTTAAAATGGAAGTTTCTGTTCCATTTGGACATAGTTCTAAGTTTGAAGGAATTGAACAATTGTTCATATTGATCGAATCTCACATGACTCATGACAGCAAACAAACAATTGACCCATATCAATCCATATCACAATTGCTCAATTGGACCAGAGGGGTTCTCTGATATAGTAGAAACCGCAATATATTGCATCACCAACAGATACTAAATATGTATAATAGGTATCTGCACTGTGTTTTATATAGGCACTTTAGTGGGGACGATGATAACAAACCATTGAATTCGGTACTGTAGCGTAGTTTCAGACAAACCAAGGTTAGTCTCCGACCAAATCCAGAAAACTCCGACGTGCACCTAGATGTCCATCCTTTAGGCGCTCTCGCAATTCAGGGCCAACTTAAGTGGCTCTTGTGAAAGCCTAAAATGTGGGGTGCGTGGCTGAGGGACGACAGGGGAAGTAGCACCGTGGCTTTGGTTGTGGAAATTCGAAAAAAAAAACGGCAAAAAATTGGGCTGAACACAACATCTTCTGCAAACAATTGAAGAGTTGACCAACCAGAGTGGCAATATTGACAACAAATGGGGATTTCACCAGTGAACATGGACGGCTCAAACCTGGACGGGTAGAAATCTGGTGTGACAGGTTGACCACTTGGGTGTTCGAAAAAAACATGTTGGGGAGTCAGTGAAAGTGTTACTCTCCGATAATCAAACGTGGCAATGGAAATGATAGTTGATTTCCCATGGGGTTCTCCATTTATAAGGGATTTTCCATTGCCACGTTTGATTACCAAAGGGTAATCGGTTTCCTTCGGTATGATACACTTGAAATTGGCCATTGGCAACATCATCGACCTTGAACCACGACCCGCACCTGGGCACAATTGGCAGAAAGGGTTGAATCCAGCAATCCAGCCCCTGAAGTTCTTATTGTAGTAGGTTCTTAAACAGTGGTTTCACTGTGTCTATGAATCTTCTCACGGATTCTAGATATCCTTTTAGCTGCTAATCATATTTTAAATCCTATCCAATATAATTATTGATCGGGTTAGCCTATAATTGGGATTATATATCATGAATTTAGTCAAATCTTTAATGTTCTTATGAATTTGAATTAAATAACACTGTTTATTACAAGGGCATTTAATCTAATACTATGGTGAAATACGATCATTAAATAACATAGTTCATGAGGGGTAAATGAATCTAGTTTTTTTTTGGTTCAATCTAGTTTTATATGGCTTTAATCTACTGTAGTTTTTTTCTATATATTAAATAACATATTACATTTTTAACAGGATATGGTGATTGATATACAGGGATAAGCATGGGTTCTTAATATCTATTTTTCGGTTCAGTAAATCATTACCCCTTGGATCCAGCCGTAGCTTCTCCTCAGTCGTAGTTGGGGTATGATTTCAGAGCTTAAGTGCGTTCTTCTTGAAAAAAAAAATGGAAAATAGGGCATATTATGTAAGAGCAACGCTTAATTATATATATATATATATTCATAGATAGATAGATAGATAGATAGATAGATAGATAGATAGATAGATAGAGAGACAGAGAGATAGACAGATAGGTAGGTAGGTAGATAGATAGATAGATAGACAATGGAGTTAGCTAAAAGGTTGATTTTGTCGTGGAGTATATCCCCTTTTTAACTGGCGAAGGCTAGAGTTACGGCCCTTGACAAGTATAAATGGGATTCTAACAAAAATAATTTGTTGCCATGGTTATATATCATTATAAACCAGTTATATCATGGTATATCTAGTTATACATGTTACAGTAAGGTTTATTTAACTGTGGCCAGAGGAGACAGGGCCTTGTGACCTCCCATGGTCTCAGGTGAAGCGAATGCCGCAGCAGAAACCCATGTGAGTAGCTGCCGCGATGTCGCTGATGTTTCGGGGATGAGCCGTCAAGGAGGAACCAGTTTGCCAAGTTCTGCTAAGTTGGTTTGTATAGATCATGTTATGGTTACTAATATAGCTAGAAATTACTAAGTTTGATACTTGATTAGAGTTTCTGGCACATAAATTTTTACGTCGATGGGTTTATAAATAACAGGGGGACACTGCCTGTTAGGAGACCCTCACAAACAACCATTTATTGAAGAAACTAGTGACAAATATCCCCTTCTTGGAAGGTCTTCACGGGGGATAACCATGAAATCAACATTGGAAATCAATTGCCCAGTCAGGGACCCTTAAAATGGAAGTTTCTGTTCCATTTGGACATAGTTCTAAGTTTGAAGGAATTGAACAATTGCTCATATTGATCGAATCTCACATGACTCATGACAGCAAACAAACAATTGACCCATATCAATCCATATCACAATTGCTCAATTGGACCAGAGGGGTTCTCTGATAATTATAGTAGAAACCGCAATATATTGCATCACCAACAGATACTAAATATGTATAATAGGTATCTGCGCTGTGTTTTATATAGGCACTTTAGTGGGGACGATGATAACAAACCATTGCATTCGGTACTGTAGCGTAGTTTCAGACAAACCAAGGTTAGTCTCCGACCAAATCCAGAAAACTCCGACGTGCACCTAGATGTCCATCCTTTAGGCGCTCTCGCAATTCAGGGCCAACTTAAGTGGCTCTTGTGAAAGCCTAAAATGTGGGGTGCGTGGCTGAGGGACGACAGGGGAAGTAGCACCGTGGCTTTGGTTGTGGAAATTCGAAAAAAAAAACGGCAAGAAATTGGGCTGAACACAACATCTTCTGCAAACAATTGAAGAGTTGACCAACCAGAGTGGCAATATTGACAACAAATGGGGATTTCACCAGTGAACATGGACGGCTCAAACCTGGACGGGTAGAAATCTGGTGTGACAGGTTGACCACTTGGGTGTTCGAAAAAAACATGTTGGGGAGTCAGTGAAAGTGTTACTCTCCGATAATCAAACGTGGCAATGGAAATGATAGTTGATTTCCCATGGGGTTCTCCATTTATAAGGGATTTTCCATTGCCACGTTTGATTACCAAAGGGTAATCGGTTTCCTTCGGTATGATACATTTGAAATTGGCCAATGGCAACATCATCGACCTTGAAACACGACCCGCACCTGGGCACAATTGGCTTAGCATGGCTCTTGATGTTGCACCTATGGGTAAGATGTGATTAGCAAAAAACCTTACAAAGGACTTGACGAATGTGGGTCTTACAAATGAGTTTGTTTGACAAATGGGGTATACCCTCTGGTAATTTAACATAGCTATTGAAAATTGCTATTTATAGTAGATTTTCCCATTAAAAACGATGATTTTCCATAGTTTTTTGTATGTTTACCAGAGGGTACCCTCTAAATGACCATTAAAAAATGGGAGTATTGATCATATTCCATTGGATTTGCGGGTACCCGGGCCTATTGGTTCAAATTTCGGCACAGCTTAAGCGTAGGGTGCCAGTTTTTGATCCCGCAGGCTCGGCGAGCTAAGGGGTCAGCCAAATTTGAGCTAAGGGGTCAGTTCAAGATTTCGGGTATCAGGCAAAACGCCATCTTTCAACTGAGCCGATTTTATAAATTTTCTCTCACGGTCACTGTCCCACGATTTGTTCTTCGCACGTGAGTGACTTGCTCTTTGGGTCATCCTGTTGGTAGTACGAGGCACTACTCAAGAGCAGATCCCATCGGGTACACCATGATGTTTTTCAGGATCCCTTCCCCCTATCACCATCCAAACAAAACCCTGATGGAATGTATATTATGGAACTTATTTATGATGTTCCTCATCTGTTCTAGTGTTGGGGTCCATATGGTACAAAATATTTGGGGGACGGTGAGATGGTACCAACAAAGGCCAAGATTGTGTGGTTTTCCCAAAATATCGATCCAAAGTAGGTACAGTTATGGCATTTGTGGCCCGTATAAATGGGATAGTTATATATATATATATATGATTATATTATATAGTCCCATAGCTAAGGTTATATATCATAAGTCAGTTATACGTGTTAAAGGCTATAACTGTACCTGAAGTTGCGGCTTCCACATCCTACTATGGAATTACGGACCCTTTTTTTATCTTTAGATTTGGAGAACCCCTCGAGTGACAGAGCATGTCGAAATGAAATCTCTGCAAGATGGAGGGCAGCATTGTGATTTTGGACATGCAACATACAGAATCTACATGAGTTTTGTATACGCATGTATACCCCAAATTCCATTGGTTTATCATCATATTTCATATTTCCTACTTGTTCATAAAGCAGTATTGATAGATTGATAGGAAGTCCCAAACATATTGAGTCAAATCCCAACCATGTTCAGTTTGCCCCATATTGCCCCATATTTTCCAGGTTTCAAACTATTTCGCCACCATTTCGGGGTTCAGCAAAAACAGCTATTCCCTCGTGAAGGGCGGCGGCTTCGCAGTGCCACAAAATGCGCGGCCGAAGTGTCTGGGGAACCCTGGAGACCCTGGGGACCCTGGGGACCCTGGGGACCGAGAGCCAACATGGCAGCTGGTGATGCCCCAACTCGATAGCTAAGTTGGTTGAAGTATGTATTGGTTAAGTTGGGTTGATGATGATTGTAACATATTCTAACTATGGTTTATGGTATCAAGTTCAGAAAAAATGCTATGGTGTTTATGGTGTCACGTTCAAAAATGTGATGCACCATAAACTATAGTTGGTGGCTCATCCCACTTAGTAAGTGAGTTATAACCCCAATTATAAGTGGATTAACCCTACTTATCCCATTTATAACTGGGGT